TCGTGTTCATGTCGAATTAAACTGATCACAAAACACAGATTTACTTTCTTTATTTCGTTTTCCTCATCCAACCCCCATAAATCCCTGTGTGTCCTCCTGCAGCACTCCCGAAGGACAACAGGCAAAACAAGACAAAAAAGTCTGACGTGTTGCGTAAAAACTGCTATTTTTAGCATATTTTTAGGTCCGACGTGTTGCTACCAGACGTGCAGTGTGAGCACATGGCTCGTGAGATCTGCCCTGCGAGGAATTCGTACAGTTTGAGCTGAAGCTGAGTGCTACGAGTGAAAAGGTCGCACAGTGTCCGCCCGGCTTTAGAGACAGTGTCCTCGAGGACAAGACAGGAGGCAGAAGACAGGACTAAGTGGAGACAGATCAGATCAGTCAGAGCACGTCTTCCTGTTTTTTCAGATTCTGTTTGCTTTGAGGGACCTCACATATAGGTACGACCCAGTCCTGCAGATAAATAACCCCCAAATTCCACTACCTCCGCTCCGCTCCGCCCCCGCCTTCCGCAGCCGCTCGCTTCCGAACTCAATTTTTACTGGTACCCCGCTTTACAGCGGCTCCGCTCCGGTGCGGAGACCTGAGGGGGGCAAACAAGCATGCATGGGATTTTCGAGATCTTGCGATACAGTCCGAGCAATAAACGCGGAAGTTAGATCCAAACACCCGTTGTGTGGGAGAAGCATCGAAATGAACTGTTTAATCCGCCCATCATTTGTGTTGAGAGATCAGCAGTGTTTGGGTCAACAAAGGGTGACTACTTTGGTAGTAGAAACTGTATTTATGGCTTATTTTTGTGCATTTAAACTTCAGCCGCCACTGATAGTTGTTAAAAGTTGTTAAACCTGTGCATATGAAACAAAAAACACCTTTTGTTTATCGATTTATTGTGAAAAACGGAAGTTGTGCTTGCTCCTTTTCCTGTTGGGCGGTTGTGATTCCTGTCCAATGACTGTGGAGGTGCTCCGGCGTCCGGCAAAAATAGGATCGATTCTATTTTTGCCGGACGCCGGAACAGAGGGCGGCGCACTGCCGGAGCACGGCCGCAGTAGTGGAATTGCTCTGATTGACTACAACGGGACCGATTTTGCTCCGGCGTTCGTGTCGGAGCGGAGCGGAGGTAGTGGAATTTGGGGGTTACCTTTGAGAGGGACTAAACTTGTCACCCCATTTTCAGTTTAAGTCACACAAAGGAGAATGTTGGATGGATCCCAACAAATGCAAAAAAATAAAATCTGTTCATTCAGCTACACATACATAATGAGGCCATTATTTACAATAACAAACCAAATAAACAAACTATAAATGCTAAAATAGAAAATGTATCCAAGTTCATCCTTAACCGTATGTTCTGGTGAGCTCAGATCATGTCTAGAGCTCATGGCTGCAGGGCACTTGGTGTATTTGTCTCTAAGAGAACGCAGACTTTAATCCTCTCATGCACCTTAACACAATAAAAGATAACATCTAAAATGAGTTTGTCCCTCAACTCTTTTAGATTCAAGGAGCTTAATGTGCAAGTCATTTATTACCAGCTTATTATTCTGTATTCACAGCAGGAGAATCTGCTCATGAATTTCCCCCTCAAAGACAAAATGAGGTTTGTCTTTTATATAAAAATACGTTTTAAAAGTCTGTGGCACAGATGTGGCTGCTGGGAGCTGATTTAAACGGTATCTATTCAAGTGTTTCTATCAGAAACGCTCCGGAAAACTGATGGAGATGATCAGCTAGTCCTTTGCCGTATCTGCAGCCAGGTTACCGACCGGTACCAGGAGATCGGAACACATCACGCCCGTCTTGGCATCCCTACACTGGCTTCCAGTCTCTTTTAGAATTTCGTTTAAAGTTCTGGTGTTTGTTTTTAAATGTTTAAATGAGTTGGCTCCACATTATCTGGCGGCTCTGATCCATCCTTGTGTTCCCGTAAGGAACCTTCGGTCAGCACAACAAGCACTGTTGGTCGTTCCTAAACACAGACCACAATCTCAAGGGGGTCGTGCTTTCTCGGTGCTGGGGCCGAGGCTCTGGAATGAGCTACCTGCATGTGTTAAGCAGGCCACCACGCTCGGCAGCTTTAAGAGCCAGCTGAAAACTCACTTTTATTCTTTAGCTTTTATTCAAGAAGAGCCTCGTTAACGGATGGCTTTGCACATTTTGCTGCCCCGCCTAGATTTTATCTGCATGTTTTTGTTGGTTTTTAAATGGTTTTATATGTTTAGTTTTTTTTACTGTTTATTTCAGCTGTGCAGCGCTTTGTTTGGTCCTTGGGCCATGTGAAGGCGCTATATAAATAAAGTTTAGTAGTAGTTTCTATCAGAAACGCTCTGGAAAACTGATGGAGATGATGAGCTAGTCCTTTGCCGTATCTGCAGGACCCCTGAGCAGAAAGCCCTTTCTGTTTCTGTGTAGATGGATTGTAAATGAAAAGAAAAGCGTGTTGTGTTTCTGAAGTGGGTTGCAGGCTAGCCCTTCACAGACTAAAGATAAGATC